GAAAGAAAGAAAGAAAGGAAGGAAGGAAGGAAAGAAGAAAGAAAGGAAGAAAGAAAAGAGAAACAAAGCCTAGTACATATCCTTGTAAGGATAATAACCAAATGTGTTATCTATCAGTAAGTTAAAAGGAAAAAATATTTATACAGCTCTTTTTGTATAAGTTCATCTCAGGGTAGGTAATCGAGTAGATAAGAGGTATTTCCTCAAAGAAGTATCTGGCTGATAAATAAAAAGAGAATTATTGCAACCTTCAAAAATTAGTGAGTGTAGGAATTGAGTGTTCACTGCTAAACCTAAAGAAGAAACCAAAGCCAGGGCAAGGAAGATGGTTCAGCTGGCAAAGCATTTGCTGTGGAAACACAAAGGCCCAAGTTTAGACCCCAAGTGCTGTACTGGCTGCTTTCGTTTGTCAACCTGACACAAGCTAGACTCATTGCAGAGAAAGGAGCCTCAGTTGAGGAAATGCCTCCATGAGATCCTTACAATGTATCAGTTATAAGGCATTTTCTCAATTATTGATCAATGGGGTAAAGGGGAGCCCATTGTGGTGGTGCCATCCTTGGGCTGGTGGTCCTGGATTCTATAAGAAGACAGGCTGAGCAAGCCAGGGGGACCAAGCCAATAATCTATACTCCTCCATGGGCTCTGCATCAGCTCCTGCCTCCAGACTCCAGCCCTGCTTGAGTTTCTGTCCTGACCTCTCCAATGATGAACTATGATCTGGAAGTGTAAGCCAAATAAACCCTTTTCCTCCCCAACTTGTCTTTTGGTCATGGTGTTCCATGGCAGTAATAAAAATCCTAAGACAAGCACCTAGGTAAAAAGATGGGCTTGACAGTATTTACCTGTAAACCCATTACTGGGGACACAAAGACAGGAGGGTTCCCAGGGCTTGTTGGCTAGGCAGTAGAGCTAATCCAAAGCTTTGGGACCAATAAGATAACCTGTCCCCAAAAATATGGAGGACGGCCAGGTGGTGGTGGCACATGCCTCCCAGCACTCAGGAGGCAGAGCAGGCTGATGTCTGAGTTTGAGGCCAGCCTGGTCTACAGAGTTAGTTCCAGGACAGCCAGGACTACACAGAGAAACCCTAAATTGAAAAAAAAAAATGAAACAAACCCAAGCCAATAGAAAGTGTTAGGAAAATATACCCAATGTCAGCCTTTGGGTTCCATGCGTGCATACACATGTACTGGCACACACAGGTGTATATACACATCACACTACACTACTACCACCGCACACAAGCACACAAGCAAAGTCCAGATGTCCTGTGTCTTTTGGTGACAACACACATCACCACCGACAATCTTACCAAAAGGTAGCAAACCTCAGTCTGATGAAGTCGATATCAGCTGCCAGTTTGCAATTAGCACTATACCTAGATCATGTTGAATGTGCAGTTCCTACTCTGGGAAACTCAAGCTAAGTTCTTCAACAGATTAATCATAAGAAAAAGCTAAAGACACACCAAGTTAACAAATGGGCAAGATGCAGCCTTGGAAGATAGAACTGATTAAGAAGCTAACACGGGCTGGAGAGATGGCGCAGAGGTTAAACGTGCAGTCTTCTCTTGCAGAGCACTGGGGTGGTGGCCCCAGCATCCACATCAGGCAACTGCAGATGTGGTAACTCCAGATCCACAGGCTCTGTGTCTCACTACGTAGTTCAGGGACCTACCTCAGCCACTCAGGCGCCAGGATTACAAAAATGTGTGCCGTCAACACGGTGCAGAGCTGTTTCTCTTGATCTGGGTCGTGATTGCAGGATGGTCCCTTCAAAACCCATTCTATGTATTTGTCTTTGATAGTCTCTACAAGCAAAAGAACCAAGCCAAATTAAAACTAAACAACTCCAAAGGAAACTTCAAAACATTTTATATTAAGTTTAAGCAAAACATAAGACAAGCCTCAAACCAGCTTTTAAGAGAACTTTGAAGGCATCTCCCAAATTGTTGTGAGAATTGTCATACACAGCAAAGGGAAGATGTCAGAGAAACCGTGGACCAATGGTTCAGAACTGAGAGACAGCTGGAAAAGCATCCCACAGAGACCCTCCCAGCTCTGAAGCTTTCGTTCACCTGACATCATTTTACAGATTAGAAAATCGGAGACCAGAGTCAACCGGACCTTATCAGCCTACAGGGCCAGCTCTCTCAGAACCAGATCTAAAATTCAGTTCTCTCCTTCTGGGACTTTCTCATAACAAAATCGAGAAAGAAATGCTTCAAAGAATACCAAGGTTGGATTTTCTTTGGAGAAAGTAGGTTCAGAAACTCTTCTAGGATGGGTTCTGGTTACCCTGTGGGGTTGGATGGCTGGGATATCCTGGGCTCAGCCTGCAGTTATTTTTTTTCTCGCTGTCCTATCTGCCTTCAATGACCTCTCCTATCTCTGCTCCTTCTGCCCTTCTGAAGGTCTAGATCCTTATCAGTAAGTGGTTTCAGTTTCAAGTTGCACATTTCAGATTTTCTAGTAATTGCATGTTCAACATTGTTGGCGTCATCTGAGTTAAGAAAATCTAATTAGTGAATGTTAAGTAACTTGTCCAAAAGTTTGTAGCTAGAAGCCAATAAAGTCAACTCCAGAATTCAAATTTTAAATGGCTATATTATCCTGCCTATGCAATTTGGTTGTTTTTGTTTGTTTTGTTTTTTTGTTTTTTTTTTGTTTTGGTCATTAATAGAAGAGAAACTGCATGTAATGTGATTTTGAAAGTTAAGTCTTTCAGGAAACTTTATAAAAAATATTTCAGTATTCTCTCTCTCTCTCTCTCTCTCTCTCTCTCTCTCTCTCTCTCTGTGTGTGTGTGTGTGTGTGTGTGTGTGTGTGTGTGTGTGTGTGTGCTGATTGATCTGGTGCTGTTAACAGCTGAATCGGTGAGAAAGAAAATTAATTTTCCAATGAGTAATGCTCTATTGCCTTTAGTGAGAGCTCTCTCTAAGAGATACAAAAGTAAAATTTAAAAGCCAGGAGCACCACTGCTGTACAGGGGGCTCCGACTGGGAAGGGCCTGGGGTGGTCCGGGCTAGGGACAGTCTGGACCAGGTCAGACACTGCAGTCCCAGGCTGGAGTGGGCGTGGCGGCTGGGTGGCAGGTCCATTCCTGGAGCTCCATGCAAATGACATGCAAATAAGCGCGTGGAAGTGGCAGCGCCTTGAGCTTTCCTAGTCCAGAGAGCAGCGTTGTCGCCCGCCGGCTCGGTCCGCTCCGGACTGTCCGCCGCTCGCCGCCGCCGCGCAGGGTCGCCACCTCGGCGCTCGCAGCCCATCCAGTCCCCGAGGCGCCCGTCCGACCGGCCGCGGAGCTCGACGCCTGCGGCTGCGCGTCGCCGCGCGGGTGAGTGAGCCAGCCCGCGCTTTTGTCCTGCCGCGGTCACCCGGTTCCTGGTGGGAACGGCTCCTAGGAGCGGCAAGAGTTGGGGTGTGAGGGGGACACGAGCTTCAAAAGGATGACTCTTCCCCCACCCCGGCCTTTGCAGAGGGCTTGATGACCGCCGGGTTCCCCCCCCTCCACCCACCAGTGAGATAGATGCTGGGACGTGGACGGTTCGCTCTCTCGCACCGCACGGAGCCCGCTGCGCTTCGCCTTCCTTCGGGTTAACCCGGGTGCCTTTCTGAGGGACTTTGTTAGAGATGCCTGCTGTAGGGAAGTTTGGGATAGCCTGATCTCTAGGAGTGGCTTAGATAGTATGCTCCTCTCTGTATGTTAGGGATCTGAAACTCTTCAAAACCCAAAGAACAGAGTTTCTAAGACTGGAGCGGCAGATGGGAAGATACTGTTGGGGAGAATGTTTGGGCTATTTTTTTTTAAATAAAATTGTGGTGGAAATATTTTGTTGTATCATAAAGAGAAAGACCCCGCTCCATTGGGGTCTGAAGGGAATACAATTAACTATTGTGCTTTCGGGGAGCTGGGTCGGAGTGAGGATGCACTCGGGCAGTGGCCGTGGTGTTGGAACTCAGGGAGCTGGCTCACCATCTCTTTGCTCAAGTGCGAAGAATGGGGTATATGAATTTCCCCTTCTCCCCAGCCCCTCCTACCTCAGCTCTCCAGAGCCTGGTTGAGAGCTATTCTCCCTCCCAGTGATGCGGTTTCCCTGGAAGAATCTTTGCTCATTGTTAAAATGCACAACTCTACTCTAAAACTTCAGGTATCCACACAGCAGTCTCGGGGGGTGGGGGTGGGGGAGTGTGGGGTTGCTGTGATCTGTGTTCCTAAAATCTTTCCTTTCCTTCCCTTCCCCTCCCCTTTCTTGTCTGTCAAATTCTTGACCTTTGCAACTGTTTTCCACTGTCTTCCCTGTCTTAGCCTTCTCTATTCTGCCCCAGAAAGAACTGTGGAGGATGATGCCTTGACTTCTGTGTCCTAGATTAGTCAAATGGCCCTGCCTGTGTCCAAAGTGAGTTTGTCCTAGTGTTCCCACTCTCGGGTCCAAGGACCTGAGCTAAGGCTAGAAGGAACCTTCTTGAACACTTGGTTCTGAGTGGGAGAATGGATGTACTCTGGGGACATGCACGGGAGCCTTTGTATCAAGATGAAGGGATCAAACAACACTAGGCATGGGCTCGCAGAGACACCCTACTGTGCTACAGATTTATATTCTCTCTCTCTCTCTCTCTCTCTCTCTCTCTCTCTCTCTCTCTCTCT